CCCACCCGACCAACGAATCGCATACATAAACGACATACTGTCGTTTCAGGTGTTGCACTACAGGGCCTTGTTGCACAATGACAGGCGTTCAATGGACAAATATCGAATGAAGTCGACTATCAGTTACGATAAACACAGCATATGTGCACTTGTTTGAAGACCGGAAAGAGTAAGATTAAAATATACGTGTTATCATTTAACCCTGGGAAGTGTTTGCCAGCAGGGTGGACTGACAGAGTACTCAGCATTCTCGAGAGTTCTGAAAGTCGATTCACTGAGCCACGGAATAGAAACGGCGGCGAAAGCATTATGGTTGGCTACAGGGCAAAGAAAGAAAGATACACATTTTTTTTAAAGAAAGTTCTACTAAATGCGCATTAAATGTTCTGTGCGTTTTAAAAACGTCGCCAATGAGTCACCTTTTATGTGCATTTCTACGCGCATTGAATCGCATTTTAATGCGTTTGGCGCTACTGGGGACTCTTACTTGAAAAATTTCACATAAAATAAAAATGAGTAAACAAAACACTCGGGGGTTACTGCCTTTTCAAACACTCCAAAACTCATAAGCCACCCTTTTTACAAGAAGTGTAATTTGCGTCACATACAAGCTTTACCTGATCAGCTGTTGACAGTGACGCAGTTCGCCCAAGTTCGCCCGCCGGTGCTGGGGCCTGGGGCGCCGCCTGTTTCGCGTTCGCGTCCGCGATTGCACATTTCAAGCTCAAAGTTGAACGCTCTACAACAAAAGATTGTCTCTGTACCGCCGAAAGGAACTGGGCAGGTGTTCAACCATCGTTCAACACTACTTTTCAGTATGTGGAGTGATTTCTGATGTGTGTTGCTTCGGAGGAGGTGGGGCAGGGAGCGGGAGATTCATTAAATCTAAAGTGAGAAAGTGTTAAAATTCACCCAAAGACGTCATGGATTCTTCAAGCGACGGTCTGTTTCAGCTTTGAAACCATCTGGACGACATAATTTGGTAAGTGACACGACCCATATAACCAAAACATACTGAAAACAATAATGTTTACCATACCATGCAGGTAAGGTTATTGTGGACCAATGTAAAAAGTACTGTTAAGACTTGTCATCATATTTAAAGTAACCCTTTGACACCACAAGTGAAGTTAGTTATTTGTGAAATAATTTCTTTGTTTGGCAAGAAGTGTAACGTAACGTGACATCCCTTTATGATTGTCATTGTTGTGGGTCTGTAATAGATCTATGGCGTTTTTTTCTTATAGCTCAAAGATCTACCAAGTTTTATCTAAAATAAACCTAATGGTGTATGAAAAATTATCTATGTTTTAAAAGTTGTCTTCACAACGGCTTTTTCAAAATAATTTTACTGGACGGATCAACATAATCATAATAGACAGTGAGACTCGTCTTCCCAGGAGAAACTGCTGCATGTTATATTGCGTCTCATTACTGTTCATTTTAGTTAACAGTCTTTTTCGGATAAATTAATCCTAGTTCCTCATTAAATGAAGAAGGGTTATTCAAATAGGGAGGGAAAAAGGGGTAATCAGTGGGAATTGGAAGGGGAGGTCTCATAGCCCCTCCCTGTCCGTACTCAACCCACTGAACTATTGTATGCTTACTAGGTTTACTAATTGTAGGATCTGTTTGACTAATCAACAGTATGTTGTAAGGAATAGCGACCAACCTTGCCTCGCCAGTATCAATAAGTCTGTGTAATCTCAGTAGTTGTCACCTATGATATCCTGTAATGATAAATTTATACTTATTTGACAATACTGTTTTTGAAGTCTGTTGTACTTTTTAGTAATAGTGTATTTTGACTAACTGGAGGCAGAATAGCGGGTAGAATATAAACGTTCCCGGATGGTGGAGAGCTTCCCATCTCTTTGTCACTCTAGTAGTGGGGGAAAAGGCTTGACCAATCAGGAAATACACTACCCATTGCTAAAGTTTCCTGCTCGCATTACCACCTTTGTACTTCGGAAAAAAGAAGTGGGAGGGGGGGGGGTATTTGAGCTGAAAAGGAGGTCAAAAGCCTAACTATCTGGCGAGGCGCTATGGTCTCTCCTTTACCATTTGTTACAGTTTCGTTCGATTTGCTACGTCTTAGAATGTTTGTACCTGAAGCCTGACGATAACGCACGGGCCGTACGTTAAAGAGAAACCTCGCGTTTAGCGATCACCCCGTCGCGTTCTCTGCCATCAGGACTGAAATCCTGATATCGCCACTAAACTGATGAGTAGACTGACTGCATACTGCATGCAGCTGCTGCCACAGCCTGACCGGCGGCGCCGCCAAGTCCAGCCCGCTGCTAAGCTGTAATGCCTTTGATTTATTCAAACTCGGCAGCAAAGGGCTGTTGCCTTAATGCGGTATCCAGCGTCAGCCCCCTTCTCTTTCCCGATGCACGCGGTGCGGCGCATATGCGCGGGAAAGCGGGGCATTATTTGAAGTCTTTCAAGTGGCGTGGTGGCGCGGCGTGGCGTAACCCATCGATGTCGGTGCAATCACACGATACAGGAGATGATTTAATAAGGCATGGCGTTCCCATTAGCATCTCGCTGGACTTTAGCGCGGAGCGCCTCGCGGCTCCGCACTTTCTCAGTCTGCTGCAAGAACGAACATGAGGCATCGATCATGCTCTTTTACCTGTATAGCCGAGCATGGCGTCGTGGCTTGGCGTAGCTGCGAACTCAATAGGTGGAACGAGCGATAGGTCTAAGGTACCTCTGTAAAATTGAAGGGAGGAGGAAAAAAACTGAAGCCACGGGAGGTTCTCAATATCTCCCTGGAACGTTTTGCGCTCTCTGTACTCGTCAGGTGCTGCTGTCACTCCAAGTTTACTGGGATCTGCAATTCCCCTGCGCTGCTCCGACGAGGACCGTAACTTGGCCACAGCCCCCCCCCCCTTCCCTTTTCCCTCTTCATCTTTCCCCTTACCTCTTGTCTCTCCATCCACTACCAATTTACCTTTCTCTAACCTTCTCTGCTGCCTTCTTGTCTCTCCTCCCCTTCATTCCCATCTTAATTACTGGTTCAGGTGTCGGTTCGCCTGCCCAGATTAGACATGGCTTCTCACTCATTTCCTTTTATGCGTTTTCTTCCGTTTCCCGAATGATTTTGCGGCGCTTATTGCCCTCCGTTTGTCGCATCGCAGTCTGTGCCGCCTCCCCCCTCCCCTTTCCCCTTTCCTTCGCCTCGCAATAATTACGGCCTACACTGTCGGAAAATGACAGGACGGTGGGTTATTACGGTTGGTACAATTATTGGACGCGCACAATACGGTGGAAGCGACTGCCCAGCGACGGGCTGCGACAGTTCTGAAGGAGCCGAAAGCATGGCGGATAAAAGACGAAGCACCACGCAATTTCTCATTCAGCCTGGCGTGGAGAAGGGCCAACAGAGCGCCCTCCCCCCTCCCACCCACTTCCATCCCTCACCCCCTTGTTTCATGCGCATTGAATAGGAAATAGTTTGCTGTCCCCGTGGCTCCCCGTTCCGTCCTTTCTCTTCGCTTCTGTCAAAGCTTTGTGCCGCGTCCGGCCCAGTTTGACGTGTTCAACTGTTCTGGCACCGCGTTTCCCCAGACAAAGAAAATCCGGGCAAGTACCAGGCAGGTTCCGGGCAACCCTCGGGCAGCCCCCAGGCAACCCCCGGGCAACCCCCGGGCAACCTCCGGGCAACTTCCGGGCAACACCGGGCAACATCCGGGCAACATCCGGGCAACATCCGGGCAACCTCCGAGCAAGTACCGGGCAACCACCGGGCAACTTTCCTGCTTTGTAACCAGTGCGGAGACCAGAGGGGTGGAGGGCATCAGGCTGACAGCGGGCAGGACATAGCCCTGGAGTGTTGTGGGCCTGTGCGCCGTCAGTCACTAGCGGGGCAACGAGGTATACCGCGGGTCGGTTCACGACCCTATGCCTGTGAGTACAGCCGCCGGGCAACTCCCGGGCAACTCGTGGGTGCCTTTGCGCATCTCGCTGTCGCATCTCGCTCCGGCGTGAACCGACCCGCGGTACACCTCGTTGCCCCGCTAGTGACTGACGGCGCGCAGGCCCACAACACTCCAGGGCTGTGCCAGGGTCATGCCCGTAAGTTGCGTATGAGGTTGCCCGCCCCTTGCCTCAATGAGCCGGCCGCTGTCAGCCTGATGCCCTCCACCCCTCTGGTCTCCGCACTGGTTACAAAGCAGGAAAGTTGCCCGGTGGTTGCCCGGTACTTGCCCGGAGGTTGCCCAAAGTTGCCCGAAAGTTGCCCGGTGTTGCCCGGAAGTTGCCCGGAGGTTGCCCGGGGGTTGCCCGGGGGTTGCCTGGGGGTTGCCCGGGGGCTGCCCGAGGGTTGCCCGGAACCTGCCTGGTACTTGCCCGGATTTTCTTTGTCTGGGGTTGGTCTCTCTGCTGTGCCGCTCGACGACAAACCGTGAAGCCATTTCTAACGTCTCTTCCAACGTCTGCTATTTGTATTTCCAAAATTACTTTAGCTTTGTGGGGAGGCAAAAATGTCTTGTCCTGAAAATTTTCAACCCAAAACTACCTTCATTCGTAAAACATAAACTGTTTTGTGTGAATGCTTTGAACTAGGTAACAACTAATACTAAAAGTACGTCATAGTAGTTTAATTTGTCAGCTACTTGTGCTGTGAGACGGCGTTGAGGGAACATGTTAAAAAATGCGTAGGCGGAGCATGTCTACAGAACTCACTAAGCTATGAATAAAAATTATAAGACTGTAGTGTATGCGGAGGGCCTTACGTAAATGAATTAGTTACCCATAGCAAACCGTAGAGTGAGTGATCTTACCGTCCTTTATTCAGGTTCTACTGCACCGGATTCTTACGTGCGGACGGGTTGTTTACTCGCACAGGGCCATTAGGCGTCTTGGTGATTGCCTTCATGCCTGAATCCGGTACAGTGTACAACGTACAAAATATAATAGCGAGTTGAAATTGATTTGCCGTAGGCGTTCCGATCTCTGAGTGACCACCCACCCTGAAAATGTCAATCACTCTTAATATAAGCCCGCTCGGTCGCTTTTTCAAAGCCGAAGGGCAGGCTAAAAACCTACGCGAAATGTCTACGGAGCGCCATGTCAATTTGCTATCAGGTGCGCGACCGTACACTGGTAAAACAAGTGTACACAATATGCACACCAAACCTGTGCAAGTTACGATTTTAAACATTGCATGGCGTTTAACTAAAGTTGCACAGTTGCGTAGTGTGCAAATTTTAAACGTATGTGTACAGCTGCTACACTTTTCGGCAGTGTCGAAAGTTTAATCACTAATTTACGTTTAACCTAGTTAGACATCACAATGTGCCGAGGAAATGCACTCTTGGACTTAAACATCAATTGACGTGCAAAATAAAATTAAACACTTGTTTTGCCAGTGTAATTTGGGATTACGGTACACTCTGTACCCTATGTATGTACCGCACTGTTAAAAGCTTACGATAACTAAATGCTTTGCAACGTTACGAACAGTTTTCGTTCTTTGTATTGCAAAGAAATTGTTCGTATTGCAAAGCGATTGTTTGTAAGGCTACTTTGGAAACGCAAGTGTGTGAATGTCTCTCACTTGTAGGTGAGAGGTGTAAAGGTCTGAATTTCCTAGGAAAAATTCATACGTTTACCCCCCTAAGTGTACGAATGGATATTCACACACCTGCAAGTGAGCGACATTCACACACTTGCGTTTCCAGTATAGACAGGTTCTTACTAACAATCGGTTTGCATTACGAACTATTTAATCGTAAGCTTACGAACAATTAGCTCGTAATACAACGCTTCAAAATCAGGGGTCCATAACTTAACGCATAAGCGAATTTTGGGTTAGGTTAGGTTCGTAAACGGCTTGCGTTATTGGCGTTATCGATCTTATGACTTATTCCCCTGCACATTACTGCAATTTGTTTATATGCATAACGCTTTTAACTAGTCAATAACGCGAGATATTGATCATAACGTTTAGCTTAAATGTTAAGTTACGGACCC